GGCGGCCCCCGGGCGCGGGCTCTCCGCGGCGTTGCGCCCGCCGGCCCTGAGCGCGGATTCTAAGGGGAACCGCTGCCCGTGGCCCGTCCGGAAGAATCTGGGTGCTAAGAGGGGACTGAGCGCCCCCTCTCCGGAGTGCAAGGCCACCCGGCCAGAGCTCGGCTTGGAGCGAGGGGTATGTGCCACTAACAGTCCCGTCGGGCAGGCTTTCCTGTGCGGAGCGCGCGGGCCGTGCGCCCTAGCGATGGAGTGTCCCAGGAGACGGCGGGCATGACGGCGACAGGATGGGCGCGAACAATGGCAAGCAGTATGGCAGTGAGGGTGAGTGGGCCGCCCGTCCTTGGCTCCCAGCTCGCGTCGCCCTTCCCCTTCCTCCCTCGTGCCCTCCGGTCTGGCGGGGAAGGTTCTTGCACGCTGCGGTGGCGTACCCCTATATGACACCCTTTGCGGGCCATTACCTTCCCCGTTGGCACTGCGTGACCGGGATCCCCAGGAAGCTTTCCCACCGTGAAAAGGGCTATTGAAGCCACTGGCTAGGTTGTCTTTGGGACTGCTCCAGTTGCCTCTCAGCCGTGTTTCTGAACACATCCTTGTGCCTCAGCTTCTGTTCCCTGGGCATCTGTGTTTAGGATGATGGTTTGGTAGATGGCGGACAACGCTTCTGCAAAATAACGCAGGGAAAACTTTCCCAGGCCTTTGTGTAGCGGGGGAAAACTTCTGGAAGGAGAAATTAAGTTTCCGTTTTCTGCTGTTCATAGACTGACAGCTTCGTGGAACTGGCTACTATCAATACCCCGGGGCGAGGGGTGGCAGGAGGCTTTGTCTGCACTCTCAGGGCTAAGATGGGCAAAGGACCATCTGTTCCGTGGGGCTGGAAATTGCACAGAAATATTGCCTGTCAAGTGGGAACTTGGAAGTTGGGGGAAACTCTAAACTCCACCTACTCCTAAAAGGATGTTGGATGGGTGGGCTGGCTTGCCCTCGCCCCTCCTCCCCCTCTTTGCATAAAACCATAGTGTGCTACCCTAGTTGATTAACAGCACACCGCTGATGTGCATATGGCCATGGCATTTTTTGCAGTTCAAAAGTCAGGAGGATTTGTCTCTGATGAACTTGACTGCAGGGAAGTGAAAGAAGTAGGATCAGTTTTACAGCCCGCCCCCAAAAGACAGGCGATTACAAACAGGGGCCTCGCTTGCAAACTGGTAGGAATGCAGAATAGCTGTTTGGCATGTGGTGTTTGGGGAAACTCCTAGCTCCCTGTTCGAAATTTGGAGCTGTGGCCACAGAACGTGGGTGTCTCTGCTTGTGTTTGTGTCTGCCTACCTTCTCAGGAGCTATGGGAAATTACAGCTGAAACCAACTCTGAAAAACCATTTCCACAAGAACCTTTGTTTAAATCATTCTTTCTTGGATCATCATGTTTTGAATTCCATTTATATAGCGGTATTTTTTTTTTTTTTTTAATAAGTTACATAAGCTGACTATTTGGCGAGGGTCAATTTCTTTACCCTGAGAAGTGCAAATTTTTTGGTTTAGTTCATTTAAAAAAATTAATTAAAAGTTGTTTTTTTAAATAGCAAATGTGAAAGAATGCAAAAATAGTTTTTAAAAAAGGGTTTTGGAGAAACTTGGCGACTCCCCAAAACTTTTTCAAGTTTATGTTTTGAGAAGTTTTAGAAAAGGGAAAGATTAAGCTTTTGTCCTCTGCATCATTGCAAGGTTTCTCTGCCTGAAGTGTGTGCTTGCCAATTACAGTTGTGGGAACAGTATGCTGTCAGCAGAAAGGGCAGCCCGAGATGCCCAGAGATCACCTCTGTGCCGTTCATGAGCAAAACTCCTCCACGCCCCTTCTAATCCTCTGCAACTTGCTCTTACATCCCAGCATTCCCGCATTGTACAGTGTGTGGTATATGACGACTTCCTGTCTGAACAGCAGAATTTTCAACCCCTGGGAGAGAGAAGGAGAGACAGGGAACTAATGTTCTCCAGCTGTTATCCGTAACTGCTACCTCTGCATTTTTACTTCTGCTTGAGTGAAATTTTACTAGGATCAGATTTAGATACACTGTGGACTTTTTACAGGAAAAACTTCGTGTGCTCAGCTGATTCAAGGAGACCAATAGCAAGCTTGGGGACTTAGCTGTGCGTTTTGGCTGCAGCAGCACGCTGTGTTCAGGTTTCCTCAACTCCCTTCAAATGCATTGAGCTTCCTCCATGATAGCAAAGAATACATAGAGAAATATATATAGCATGACCTTTCTTTCTTCTCTCCCAAGTAAGATTATAGCAAGAGCTCTGGTAGCAGAGTTTGACTGCTGGCAGTTCTAACCCACCAGCCACTCCTCGGAAGGAAGGTTGGGCAATCTACTTCTATAGTGATACTGCCTCGGAAACCCAAGGAGGGGTCACAATGAGTCGGATCTGACTTGACGGCAGTGAGTTTGGTTTTGGTTTTGGAGGATTATAGCAGGGAACCCCGGTGGCACAGTGGTTAAGCGCTTGGCTGGTAACTGAAAGGGCGGTGTTCAAAGCCCTAAACTACTTGGGAATGTGTTACTCTGCTTCTGTAAAGATTTAAAGCCTTGGAAACCTTATGCAGCATTTCTATTCTCTTGCTATGAGTGGAATCAACTTGACAGCAAATGGGTTTGGTCTGGGTTATGGTATATGTAATTAGGTATGGCCAACTTTGTTAGACTGTGTTACTGGCTTGTAAGATCTATGCAAACAAGCCTTTTGAAATTTGATGTGTCAGAGCCATCTTTCTCATCTAAAATGGCAAATTTCAAAGATAGTGAAAGCAACTCCTAGACATCCTAACACTATGATCCAAAAAACAAAAACAAAGAAAGAACAACAGCAAAAAAAAAAAAAACAAAAAAAAAAAAAAACCCATAAACCACAACCAAACCACTGCCATCAAGTTGATTCTGACTCATAGTGACCCTCTAGGATAGAGTAGAACTTCCCCATAGGGTGTCCATTTTGATGGAAGCAGACTGCCTCATCTTTCCGGCAGCACAGCTGGTGGGTTCAAACTGCCAACCTTCTGATTAGCAGATGAGTGCTTTAACCACTGTACCACATCTCTGTCATCCAAGGAGACTTAGCAGTAGCACATGTTTATAGATTAAGTGCAGTTTGAGGAGGGTATATCAGGTGGTGCAGTAGGCTGAGCCTTTGGCTGCTAACCCAAAGACTGGTGACTGGAACCCACCTAGAGGTACCTTGGGTCCCACTCGACAGCAGTGAGCTTGGTTTTTGGTTTAGAAGTCCTTTGGAGGAAAGGCGTGCTGACCCGCTGTGGAAAGCCCGCAGCCTTGAAAACCGTGCAGCAGTTGTGCTGTGCACACATGGGGGCACCGTGAGTCAGAAGTGACTCCACAGCAGCTGGGTTTGTGTGTTCTTTTTTCCTCTCAGTATTTCAAACTGAAGAGAGAAATTATTTCCTATCAGTAGAATGCAGTGAGATTGCTCAGTTATATCCATGGGTGTTTACAAATCTCCAACTTAAGTGTATTTGGCTTACCAATGGCAATTAATACCATCTAAATGATGTGTAAAATGTTACAAAAATAATTGAATTTTTAGAACCTTTATAACTTCTTTCAGCCTTTCATCATTCATTTCATTTTCTCCTACTCCTAGAAACTATGTTTTTCATTAATAATAATAATAAATACTCATGAGATGTGCTGTAGCAGGTGCAAAGGATTAGTAGCTTCCAGCCCGGTGCGGCCCAGGGACCAGCAGCATCAGCCTCACCTGGGAGCTTGTCAGAAATGCAGAACCTCAGGTTCCTCCAGGGAATCCTGTCCGGGTGATGTCACAGGCGTGTTTGAGTTTGGGAAATTGTGGTATAGTGGGCACTGCATCCAATCAGTAGTCTGGAAATTTGACTCCAGCGTTGACCTAGCTACTGTAATGGTACTCAAGTCTCTCCAACTCTTTCTTGTCTAAGCTGAGGCAGGTCATTCCTTATTGTCATTGTTTGTCATTGTGTGTTTCTTGAGCATGGAGTCATTTGTTTCCTTTTACTTGTATAATGCCTTCCCGGACCCCTTCAGCTGAATTAGCCTTCGGAAGACATGATTTAATGGATAGGGAAGCTACCACTCTTATGCCGTGAAATCAGTTAACACACTCTCCGCTTTTGTCTTCCTTCTCTACCTTTCTGTTCTATTTTCCTCACTCATGCCCCACCTCCCCTCCTACCTCCATCAGTCCTAACTCCCTACCCTGCCCCTACATTAAAAGGGGCATCATAAGTCAATGTTGACTCAACAATGACAATAATTTTGGGGAGAGTACATGGACAATGGGTGTTTTCTTAGTCATTAGTGATATCCAGGTTCGTGGTGTCATTTGCAGCCTCAACGCTCCTGCCCTTAGACGGGTTTGGATTTTGCTACAGGAAGAAGTTAACACACGGCTCTTGATCTTCAGCTTTCTAGAAACAGAAGGGAATGTCTAAATGATTAGTATGTTCTGGTAAACTCTTTTATGGAGAGCTGTTTTTTCTCTTTACACTTTTTTTTTTTTTTTATAAAGTGTAAGTTACAGCATGTGTGCAAATCTGCAGAATGAGTTGGGGCCGTTCAAAGCCATTAGAACCATTAGCTTGGACTCCAGTTAAGCCAAATAAACAAATCTCTGCTCTCGTAGGAAAAGAGGAGCTCCTTTGCCTGCCTTTTAAGGTCTCTGAGCTTCACCATCACTTACTCAGTGGTTTCATCGTGATGTTTATCCTACTTCAGCAGGTCACAGGCAGTAGCACTTACACTGTTATCAGCTCCTTCGTGAGGTCTGGGACGTTGTTTAATTGAAGTTGCTGAGGCCAAAGCATGGGGTTTGACCCCAACACAGACCTGCTGCTCCACCAGAGCCCTGGAGCCCCTTTCCCGTCTCAGATCTGCACTGTCAGATATGAGGAGAGCCAGTGGCCCGAGAGTGTAAATCATCACAAATCCGTCACCACCTCAGGAAATATATCTTGAAATAATAGTAAGGATGGCGGTGAATGTTCATTGAAAGCTTACTATGTCCAGGCATGTTTTGAAGCACTTGACATATACTCACTTTGTCTATCTTGTTGGGCCGGCACTCACACGTTCCCCGTTTTACTGATGACGAAACACAGGAACAGAGATGATGATAATTTTCTCAAGGTCATACAACTAATCCAGGCATAGTGGGGACTTGGGACCCAAGTCTTTCTAAACCCAGAGTCATTCATCCATTCATTTGTTCAAGGAATAAATGTGTGTTGCCATCTTATTTAGTATTTTGTGTGAGAAACTAACCGTTCTGGAGTCTTG